TGGCATGCCACTGGCACTCAAAACGGAAAAGGAAACATTCCCCGAGATTTCCTCCGAACAACAGGAGGTGGGGAGGGGGTTGGGCGTTAAGGAATTCAATTAGGCAGATGAGTGGCCATATGAATGTGGGCGTAAGAGTGTGCATGTGGCCCGATATAAAAGTGCTGGCCAAGTCAAAGGCAAAAGCAAAAGTCAGAGACATCTGACACTTCACATGGCCGGATGAGGACGCCTTATTGGCCTCAAGTTTGTGACTAAGCTGATGTTGCTGATCCCAGGCCAGCGATGAGTTCCAGTGGCTTGGAGCTCAACTTTTCAATATACCCCTAGTGCCATCGAATGGGGGATAAGAGTGGTTATTCAGTATTTTTCCCCGAAGGCAATCAGACTTGTACGCTTATAATCCACTAGCTTACTAGTTCGAGTGTCTTTAAAGCGGAAACGAAACACTTGAAGTACGTTATTACTCATTATTTCTATACTTAGAGTCAAAAGTGTGGTTTCATTAGAAGAACCCATTTTAACAAATCTTTCCCCAGAACAGATATAGCAAACATAATCCTAGTGATACGAACGGATTTTCCGAAATTCCCCCTAGTTGTTGAGCTGTTCAGTTGAGTCGACCCCTTCACTTGTGGCATGTGTGTAAATATATCAAATATTATTCATGATCTGGAATAGTTTTAGCGCGAGTGCGTTTCTGCAGCTTGCGTCCCATTTATCATTCATGTTGCTGCAGTGAGACTTTGTTCCCCGACTTTGTTTGCTCAGCAAATGTTGTGGCGGAGTTTCAACGGGCTTCGTGTGGGTGGTTTCACGGGAGGCAATGTCGAACCCAGCTCAACTGAAGCGTTTTAATTGCTGCATAAATATTAGCTTAAAATTAGCTCATTGTTCGCTTAGTTCAAGCTCAGATTCAGACTCCATTGTGTGCGTATATATATAGATTTATCTCAGTTTCTGTCTGTTCCTGCTGTCCGTGTGTGTGTCTTGCCATAGTCAATTACCACATATTTGTCTATAATTAATAAGCTCCCCATGGGCCCCGAGATTTGTCCCGCTGCAGCTAAGGCTTTAAGCAAATAGCAATCACTTCTAGTGAGTCTCCAGTCGTCTGGTAAGTTTTCGCTTATTCAATTGCAACTTTTTCCCAGAGTTCCTCTTTTTCGAACATTTGATGTTGCTCTTGCAGTTGAATAACTCGCGCACCATTTTCGATTTTCGCTCGTTCGGTTATTTATTTATACCGTTTGCAGTGCAATCCGCACAATTCTCCCCCTGCGAAGGTAATAGCCTTGTGTTTGCCCCTGTTTATACTTTCTACGCTTCAAATTAATTTCAGCTCTGCCAAAAGAGTGCATGGCTGTTTATGTATGCATCTGAATAGCATGTGGGGTAATGCCTGTTCATGTACAAAATGTTACATGCAAAACCACTTTAAAAACCATCGAAAATTGGCATGGATGCCCTTTTGAAATTTTCAAATATGACTACAAAATTCAATGAATAGAGAGAAAAGGAAAATTTAAATTATTCACTATTTACTTTAATTTGTAAAGGAAGGACCACAATACTTTCTATTAAATTATAAATTGATAAATAAATTGATTTACTTTTAGAACAAGATGACTTTTTTATAATTTATCTGATAATCTTTATTTGTTCCTATTTGTACTATACGTTTTATAGCCATTAAGTTGGCTGATCAATGTAAATTTATATAAGTTAAAAAAAAAAAAAAAATCTGATAATCTTTAAAGTTACCAAGCATTTTTAAATATTTAGGTACATACAACAGCACACACTTCCTTTGCACTTTTTGCTAAGATGTTAAAATTTGCTGCATCTGCTTGGCTGGCAACATTGACACTCCCCTCAACCGCCTGACATTTTGGCATCAATCAAGACGATACTCCCTTCCTTCGTTAGTAAGTCCTTTTTTTCGACGTTTTGCAAGATTTTCATGCTGCAAGGACAAGCTGAACGTATGCAAATCATTATGTTAATCGGGTACCATCAAATTTTTTGGCGTCATTCATCACACTGAGCCACACTTTGCACTTGGTAATAGCAGTGCCCCCGGTTCTTTCGCCTCTTCCCGTTTTTCACCCCTTCCTCTGCAATTTTTCACCCCTTACTAACCACCTTCCCAACCCCTTCCCAAAACCTTCCAACCCCTTCTTTTGCTCCACTGCTTGCTTTGCTCTTGCCGCTGCTTAGCGCCCGCGTGGCTAAGCCGAAATTTACACAGGCACAGCGAGTTGGTCGTTGAGTATGCTTGGTTATGCTGAATTTTGCACTTTTCCGAGCCCACACACATGCACCAGGAGCACACACACACACACACACGAACGGCATAAGTAAACAAGTTTAGTATAATCAACGCTTGGCTGGCTGCCGGGCTATACAAAAAAGTGTTGCACATCCGCTTACATAACCCACACTCGCAAATTCGCAAACTCGCAGCCCGAAACCCCCATGAACATGGAGATGACGTAGTATATGTTTTTATTAGCATGCTTTGTATGCCCTGTATGCTGTCAGGCTCACGACCAAGTTGGGCTGCATTTATCAGTTTGCCGGAGGGGGAGGGAAAAGGGGAAGGATTCACCTGTCTCACGGTGCTCGTAAAACCACATTACCTGTGATTTCCGAACACACACAGGATGGCTTGTTCATCAGCGCTGCAGTCGAGCACGAACGGGGCGATATTGGGATATCTGCTGGTGGCCCTTTGGCGCCTTTGTGCCACGTTCATTGAATGTTTTCCTATTAATTTTTTATTGAATGTTGCTTTTTTTTCCCCATCCAGCATACTTCCACGCAGGCTAAGGGGGTGGTGGCTCATTCCCTGCGGCGACATGCTAACTTTATTCAATTCCTCCGCTGCTCATGTGGAACCCTCACTCGATGTCCCTCCATCCATCTCCCTCTAACTGCATCCGCATCCTATCTGCTCTTGCTCTACCTTGGCCACTTTCTCTATTTTTAGCCGGACAACAGGAGCCCCGTGTAATGTGGCTGAAAAATTGCCAGTACTTTAGAACGCATCCCGGGTGAAGAGATGGCGATTAAAGGCAATCGAGACAAGGATACCCTTGGAAAGAAATTGAGGTGTAATTTAAAATAAATATTTGAAAGGTAAAATAAATAAAAAAATTAATTCTTAAAGAATCAAATGAGCATTACTTTCACATTTGCTATTCTAAGTATTCCACAGATAGGAAAACCTAATCAACAAAAGGATCAGTGGTTAGTATTGATGTAAAGTTTTCCCCATAGTATCTTCGGTAATCCCCTATCTCCGCATACCCCATCTATACCCCAGAACTCCCGCTGATGGGGCAACAAATGAGCAACATGATGTGAAACATTTTGCTAGTTCCTTAAACTGAACAAAAGGAGCAAGAGGATGGGGCGGGGAGGTGGGACAACGAAGAGCTTGGCAAGCTGGTTAAGCCTGGTATGCCACTCCATTTGGAAGACGCTTTTTTACGGTTCGCCACAAGCACATAAAAAACCTCCAAAATGGGTGACACACAAAGGAGCCGCACACACACAGTCGCACCGACCTTAACTCACACGAAGGCAATGAAATAAACAAAGCCGCGAAAGACTCACAAACCTCAGCGGAGCGAGAAAGACGGGGATACGCGGAGCGAAAGAGAGGGAGAAATGCGAGAAGAAAGAGTAAGGTAGTAAGCAAATTGCTCGAGAGACCAAAAGCCGGACCGCTGTCAAAATTATCGAGCAGCAGGTGTGTTCTTTTCTCTTTTTCGTACCATCTCTCCGTCTCTTTCTCTTTCTCACGTTCCATCTCTCTCACACAGCCGCTGGCATTATTGCTTGTGTGGCTTTTTGGTAAATATTTTGCATAAAATATCAATTTCATATGCGAACGTGCAAACATATGAATGCGTGTGACTACAATGACGACTTTAACTTAATGAAATTTAAATAAAAATCTGCAAATGCTAACTTAATAAATTATAGAGCATGTTTTTCTGCCAGGGGGTAGCTTGTTCCAGAAAATGTTGCATAACTTTTGTAGCCGGAACTTTGTACAAAATCAGTGAGCTGTGGTTGGGGAAATGCAAATGGCGGTTATTAAAATTTCTGGGAAAGGTCTTTGTTCAACCGCACCCACTGGAGATTAATTGAGAGCATTTAAGGTGACATTAAGCTGGACCCCAAAATAAAGGACCCAAAAGTAAATCGAAAAAAAAGAAAGCTTCTACATAATATACCCCGCCAAATGGCTATTTCACTCGATTTGGTGCGTCTAGGCGGCGATAAAATTGGAGACCAGATTTACTTGTTGATTTCCACGGTAATTGAATTACCCGCGAATAAAGTGCGCACAAAATGGGTCTCGACATTTCCCTCCCAAAGGGTGAACAAATTGGGAAAAAAGGCAGCCAGTGCCAAAAATTAATTTCATTTTTGGTGTATTTACTGGGCATTTTCGGGCCAAACTTTTTGGGACTAAATACACAAATTTAATAGCAATTTCCAAATTTTTTCGGTGGGGCTTGGCATGATGGAATATTCGTCTAATGTTTTGGGCAAGATGTCAAGGCTAAATGAAATATATCAATCATAGCTTATAACCCTTGAGGATAATAAAGACATGTCAGGCATTAAAATTAGAATAAATGAAATATAATTTCTAGGTAAATTATAATAACAAGTTAACCATCAAGTCAGACTTTACCCCTTTTCTTTCTGACCAAGCATTTTTCCTGTTTTGGGTATTTATTTGTTAATACGATATTTACGCCCCTTAAATGGAAATGGGAAATTTCCAATCAAAACAATACGCCCAGTGTTGGTGGTAACCGAATCACGTAGTCTGTTAACGGAAGATATAAATATTTCAGGCACAATTTCAGGGGCGGCAACGGCATCCACTTAGTGTGTTCCTCGTTTTCCTCGATTTTTCCCCCCAGTGGCATGTATATAAGTTCAAGAAAAACCGAGTCCTGATTGTACAAGCCAACATGGAGTCCAGCTACTTTGCCGTTCAGAGAAGAGCTCTGGAAATCGTTGGATTCGATCCTAGTAGTCCACAACTGAGGGTGAAACATCCCATTTGGGCAGGGATTCTAGTCTTATCCCTGGTTTCCCACAATTGGCCAATGGCGGTGTACGCTCTGCAGGATCTATCCGACCTAACTCGTCTCACGGACAATTTTGCGGTGGTTATGCAAGGATCCCTGAGCACCTTCAAGTTCCTTGCTATGATGGCAAAACGCAGACGTATTGGGTCATTAATTCATCGATTACACAGACTGAACCAGGAGGCCAGTGCCACGCCCAATCAGCGGTTGAAGATCGAGAGGGAAAACCAACTCGATCGGTATGTCTCGAGATCCTTCCGGAATGCCGCATACGGTGTGATATGGGCCTCGGCCATTGCTCCCATGCTGCTGGGCCTGTTGGGCTATATAAGAACTGGAGTCTTTACCCCCACCACGCCCATGGAGTTCAATTTCTGGCTGGACGAGCGGCAGCCGCAGTTCTATTGGCCCATCTACGTTTGGGGCGTTCTGGGCGTGGCAGCCGCCGCCTGGTTGGCCATCGCCACGGACACTCTATTCTCCTGGCTAATTCACAACGTGGTCGTTCAGTTTCAGTTACTGGAATTATACCTCGAAAAGAGGGTTCATAATCATAATCAGGATCAGGACTTCCATCTAACCGAATGCATTCATCGACATCGCTTGGCTCTCGATTTGGCCAAGGAACTGAGTTCGATTTTTGCCGAGATCGTTTTCGTAAAATACATGCTAAGTTACCTGCAACTCTGCATGCTGGCCTTTCGTTTCAGCCGCAGTGGCTGGAGTGCCCAAGTGCCGTTCAGAGCCACCTTTCTAGTGGCCATTATCATCCAACTGAGTTCTTACTGCTATGGCGGCGAGTATCTGAAGCAGCAAAGTTTGGGAATAGCCCAGGCCGTCTATGCTAATTGCAATTGGCCAGAAATGCCACCGAAGAAGAGGAGACTGTGGCAAATGATGATCATGAGGGCCCAGAGACCGGCAAAGATTTTTGGCTTCATGTTCGATGTGGATCTGCCACTGCTACTCTGGGTGAGCTTCTAGTTTCGACTACATTAAATGTTAGTTATTTAATGCATGTATTTTTGGTTTGCAGGTAACTAGAACCGCTGGCTCCTTTTTGGCATTGCTAAGAACTTTTGAGCGTTCTTAATTTGAAATCAGAAAAAAACAGCTCTGAATCTCAAGTTAAAGCAATTTGGGTATTCAAAAAGTATGCAAAAAAAAGTTGTTCTGAAATCTCCCCACAACGTAATCCTAAAGTCGCCACTGATCTCAAATTAAGTTTAAACCTCTTTAAAGAGAAATGTTTCCTTCTAGAAATATTTTAATTGTTATAATTTAAAATATAATAATAAAATCTACCAAATATTCAGTAAATTCACTAAAGTATATATTTTTGAAGCCAATGCTTAAAAGCTAGCAACTTTTGGTATCTCCACACCCAAACCCTAATTAGTTGGCAATTTATTTTTGCGTTAGACGAGCATGTTTTTGACGGGCCCTGCAGCCCCGGAGGAATCTTTTGCCCGATGCAGTAAGCACACACATGCCACAGGCCGATGCCACTGCAGGCGGAGAATATGAAATTCATGAGCGAATTCCACAAAGGCAGCTAGCAGAATCAGCTCATGCGTGTGGCCATGATGGCAGTTGGGTTGTATAGAGATATATACATATACCTGGGATAGGTAGCCGGAGTTGGAATTTGTTAACTGAAAGTATGCAACGGCATTCGGCAACAGCATCGTTCAGGTGGAGAACAAGTTACTGGAAAATAGCTACTCGAACTATGTGCACCATTCTGTTTGCCAGCCAGCCAATGGCCCCTGGGCCCTTTTTCCGACTCAGCCGGTTCTTGAGCTTGGTTTCGGGGCTCGGGATCAGGTGGAATGCGGTCTTATCCGTATCCCCATTCTCCTTCATCCCTTGAGGATAGCGGAATGTTGCCTGTTACGGAATTTTCGGGCTTCCAACGGCTGCTGCTGAGATTTGAATTCAGTTGAAGGCTAAGTCCTTTGGCTGGAATTTGTTTTATTAAATTTTGCAACTCGGTATTTTGCACATGCAATGGACTGACTCTCGGTCTTCTCAAAAAAACTATGACAAATTGTGCGGGCGTGGAATCGGGCACCTTGGATTATGTAACAAATTACGCCAACGCCATTTTGCGGGCATAATTAATTTTTGTCTCTGACATTTGATTTATTGGTCTGCGCTGGTCAGCATCTTTGGCTTGGCTTCGAAAAACAAATGAGCGGCGATTAATAAGCGGGAATCGCTTGTGGCCATTACGCACCTGCGGCATAAGCAGCAAAATCGGACATTAACCTGGAATGGAGGGGATATAACTTTACAGCAAATTGTGGCCAAGATAAGAGAGCCGAGAATAGTGGCGAAAAAAGCAGCATTTTATGTGTATTAAAAATGGGAACAAAAACGACCAGGAGCAGAGCACAGATTTTGTTTGCGGTTCGTTGAGCACACAATAATTCCATCAGCAGCAGCAGCCGCAGTGGCAGCGGGAAAAGTGGGCGTGGCTGGTGGAGGGAGGGAGGAAGGGGGTGGTGTAGAGAGAGATAAAAGTGCCGCCAGTACTTTCGCTGCATTGCTTTTTTTCTGCCGTTGTTGTCCTTTATTGTGTGGTGGCCAGTACCACAGGGCGAATGGTTAATAATCGAACAAAAAAGTCCTTAAAGCTGTCGGGCTGTCGGCAAACATTTATTCAAAGTAAATTGATATTCAAAATTACAAATTCAAATTAAACTTACTTATTCGTATTTTTTAACCCTGACCAACACTTTTCCAAAATAAAAACCTTAAAGCAACACAACACTTTACAATCTGTTATTCAATTGAAATTGATATGCCGAATCAAAATGGCATGCAAAAATTCATCTGAATTCATAGCAATTTCCCCATTTTGCCCGCTGAAAAGTAGGCAACAGAGAAGTGCGTAAATTTAAATGTCAATTCCCAATTAATGGACTATTTAAATGTTCGTTTAAAGCGAAAGAGTGGAAAAACATTTCGGACAAAATGGAAATTTAAAATTTCAAATACAAATGCTAATTCAAATTAAATGCAGAAATTCATCCGCTTTCACGGTAATTCCCACTCTTTGGCCCCCGGAAAATAGGAAACGAAAAAATGTCCCGCTTTAATCGGGCCTGTGTTTGCCAAAGCTATATTTCCATCTGTATATATAACATATTTTTCGGCTGAGCATACAAGGCGGCTGTGCAGGGCCGTGCTGAAACTTTTCTAATTAAAATTGTGCGGCTTGTTGAAAGGTTTATAACGGAAAATGGCTGGCAGAGGGTGCGGAGATAGCCCGTTTTAATAGAAATTACATTAATTAATTTTTAAAATATGCTTAAATACACATTTCTATGCATTAATTAATACGGGCTCTCGCACACACACAGCATGTAAACAATGAAACGTGACTGGAACTAACAAAAAGCCCCGATGTCATCCCAACTCCGGTCCTAAACGGGGATTTGGCTAATTAAAATTAAAATACTCCCACTTAATTTGTTGTTTATTTGGTTAAATCCGATTTTAATTGCTGACTAAAGTGCAGCGAATTCTATTAGAAAATTGACATGAACATGGAGCAAAGAGAGTTTCGGTGACTACAACAATGTTTTATTGACTGTTTTTCCCACATAATTGCCAGCAATTTGGACGTTGTCCAAATCGACTTGTTTTCCCCCTCGATACGAGACTCTCGAACTGCTACCCCCGTCTATCCGTTATCTATGTCGCTATTTTTGTCTCTTCAGCTCAGTTTGGTAACTTTGATTTACGCCGCCCGGTCCTAACCCATTTTTATGGGACTTTGTGTGACCCATTTGAACGAACATTCGGCTTGCAACGATGCCACATGCATGACAAGCACTTATGCAAATTATATGGCGCACTTATGTGCGGGCAGAGGATTCGACTTCGATGGGGTTTTCCAGCAGAAACTTTCGGATAAAGCAAAATTAAAATAAAACATAAAAATGTTTAACAGTGCTTCAGTGAGTTCAAGCGAATATTGCTCGTAACAATTTGGGAAGCTTAGAGTTTGGCATTTAGAAACAATGAAAACTAAACAGAAAATGTACAGTGACCTATAAAGTTGTAAAGTCAATTTAATTGAAGAATGAAAACTTACTTACTCAAAATAAACAAATGGTGAAAATTATTAAAAACATTTATCAACAATGTTTTAATTAAATGTTAATGAGGTCAATCATGCAAGAAATTTATTGGTCGTATAAAAAAACCTCACATATTTGGGCCAAGAAAAAACTGCGCATGAAAGCAATCAACATATTTGCACACTTTAAAGAAATGTCTGCTCTTAAAAGCATTTCCAAATTAAAAATTTCAGCGAGAGCAAAGACCAAGCAAATGGTAATTAAAACAGGAAATATTATCACTACATAGTTATCATTATTTACCTGAAGCATTCTCATCAAATAATTGATGTCGCCGCAGAACCCACCCAAATTGCAATCACTTTATGCATAATTAAATTATAATTCATTAGACATGAGCCAAGGGCCCCGGACGCGTCTAAATCATGGCAATTAAATATTACCGATGCCAAAAACATTTTCCATTCACAATCAAATGAGGGTAAATCAATAAGCTTAAAATGTACCGTTCTATGGGTGGGTGCGCCCATAAATACATATTTGCAGGGTATGTATTATGTTATTATTGGCAGTTTTTAGCATGTTCTCTTGACTCGACTCAATTCAGTGAATCCAGGCGGACTTGGGAGATGCACAGATTAAAATGGTATTGTGATTATACTACATTAAGACAGAGGGGTTTTGGGGAGGATTTTGCAGAGTGAGGACAGATGATATGGAAATTACAAATGCCATTGTTTGTGCAAAAGTCAGACAAAGTGAAATTGTTTAGAGGCGACGCGCGACAAGAAAAACGCAGAGATATATTTGAAAAATTACTTTTCTTCTATAAAGATTATTTTTTGTTCGGCTGAGGAATGCGAATGAGTCTGCTGTTTTCTTGTTGCAATGTCGCATGAGCTGGTGATTTCTTTGTGTGCGAGTGTTTCTCATTGGCAGTGGATTTGAAAGTGTGTAATGTGAATTCAATTATTGGCAAATCGTTCTTTTTTCTCTTGTGTACATTACAATTTTGGGATCCACTCCGGTCTTGGGGTTCGCCTTCGTTGACTTCATTTCTCCGTGGCCTGTGTCCCCGTCTCTTTCGTTTCTCAACGCCCTCTCTCTTTCTTGGCCCTCTACTCGGCTTGGCGAATATTTTCAATTTTTGCGGTCGGATGTAGTTGGTTTACTTCCTGTGTTTGCTTACTGTTTTAATTATTTTGCCTCATTTGATTCGCCCTTCTTTTTTAATTAAATTCTTTTGACCATAGTTTATTTATTTATGTTTTTTATGGGCGATTTTCAGCATTCGATTTCCACGCGCTTGTTTGTTTTTCTTTGCTGTCGAAACCTTTTTTCAATTATTTTACAAAAATGTTTGCGGCTGTGTTTTTTCCGTTGGTGTTTTCATTGGTATTGATATTCGTTTTTTTTTTGTATTTGTTATTTACTAATAAAATGCATGTAAGTCAGTCCGTCGTTTCAACATTTTTTTTGATGTCTTGTATATTTTGTTGGCTTGCTGTAATGTAATATAAGCGTGTGAGCACTTAAGTTCTCGAAACTCGATATATTTGAAGCACAACAATTTTGGCAGTCAGCTGGAGGCAAGGATTGCGAGCAATTGAAAAGCAATTATCGTGGCAAAGTTGCAGCTGCAGTTTGGATGTTTCTCATGTTGCAAGTGGGGAACAACAAGTGCATGCTGAGGACAGCCGCACCCACCCAAGAGCCACGCCTATTTCGCCACGACAATTCCGCTAACCATTTGCACTTTGCTTCACACACTTGCTGCTTCAAAATTTCACACTAAACGGGTAGCTTAAGTTGCGGTTTTACTTTCGCATTTCGAATAATATTTTGGAATATTTTTTTAGAATATTTCTTTAGCCCGATTTCGAAACGTTCCAAGTCCAAGGCGTGCACAGCGCTCGGCGCTCAGAGGAAAAGACAACTTGATCACAGCATGGAAAATGTTCAACTGACCGAGTGGCTAGCCTGTAGACCAGCAGAGAAGCTG